GCTTGTAACTCTTTAAGCTTCCTTATAATCTTCACATACTTGTCTCCTACTTCTTTCTCTAGCTTCTCCTTTAGTAATGTTACTATCTGGTCTCAGCCTGCCTCTGTCTGTCCTGCTAGAAGAACATAGTCTGCTAGTCTAACTATATTAGCAAATTTGAACAGCTTGCTCACATCCTTGTCCACATAGAGAATCTCTAGTTGTTGTATCAGGTTTGTCCTCAGTATCCCTCTGATCCCTCTCCAGAACTCACAGTCTAACTCATGTACTAACATCTTCCCTTACTCCTTCAAGTACTCTACTTACACCTAGAACTTGTAGTAGTAGTAGCCAAACTCTGTCTGCACCATCATTTCCTTCTCACTCTGTACATTGACTAGTTGTATAATATTGGCTCTTGTGTAGTATTGACCATTAATCAGCTCCAGATAGAGCTTTCTGATCTCCTCTTTTACAATACTCTAATTGTACACTCCTTTCTTCTTTAACTTGAGCACAGTAGCCTACAAACTGTTATAGCTTGTTGCTACATAGTACATTACTTACTTGCACATCCACTTGGTGTCCTTCTGGAAGTTAGTAGCTAACATCTTAATGTCTTCAAAGAACTGTAGAAGTTCCTCAAGCTTGCTACTATCAAAGTATAGTACTTCTCTTGATCCTCTTCTTGGCAGCCATATTATTATACTTCTTGTGTATCAAAACAGTCAGTTTGATTCAAAACAAGTGTAGTAAGGCCCTTAAGGCTAAGATCAAGACAAAATCAACCTAGACACTTTAGAACAGAGGCACTACCCTTTATAGTAGGCTCTAAAATAAGATACAAGGTTTTGGTAGGCTTGTTCCCTCTAGTGTTGTTGTAGGCTCTGGTCAAAACTCTCCCTTTCTATTCCAAATAGGAAAGAACTAACTATATGAAGAAAGTGATTATGTAATCCAAAGAATTAAATAAAATCAAGAAGATCTGATAGTAACCAAAATCAGAACTCTTCACTACACAATAGGTAACTATACTATCTATACAGTATAAAAGTAATACTTTCACTGAATATGTAAAGTATACAACAAGACTCTTTATACAGTACAGTATAAGAGTTAAAACTCTCCAAAGTGATAACAATACAGTGTTCCTAAGTAAAGACTTTACTATGTATATTGAAAGTCAAGGAACAATATGTAGATTAACAGTACATGATACACTGTAACAGAACAGAGTTGTGGAATGTATACATAAGACTATCTTTAATAGTATACATACGTGTCTGTTATCAGCAAAATTACCTATAAAATTCTAGGTATATGTGGTACAATATCAAACATTTATTCATAACAGAATGCTGAGAGTTACTATTAATTTTGCAACACCATATTACAAACAGTATAACAAACATTATCAAATAGATAATATACAAGAATTTAGTACATATTGTATCATACAGAACAAACAAACACATAAACTATAACCTAGAGGCTAATATGTATAATAGCTAGGTTATAATACTGACAGTAAAGGTCACTTAGTGTGCTATGATAATAAAGTTACTGTTGAATGCAACATACAATTCATAGACAAACCAATGTCTAGAATTGAAGGGGAGAATAATCATAATGGTGATACATCAAATAATAATAAAACTCTTCCTAATAACAATAATAAAGATAAAGAACCTGTCATACAATACTTTACACAAGAGCAAAGACTAGCTAAACAAACTATAGGTTTAAATTACAATAATAAAGATAAAGAACCTGTTATACAACACTCTACACAAGAGTAAAGACTAGCTAAACAAACTATAGGTTTAAATTACAAAGACAATATAAACCTAGTTATGTATCTAACAGAATTTAACAAATTCCTCAACAAAATCTACAGCAATCCAATAATGTATTATGATACTATAATACACATAGACAAAGAACAGTGGATTAAAGCTATGAAGGATGAAATATAGTCACTTCAACAATGAAATGTATGAATATATACTATCCCCCCTACAAATACAAATATAATTAGAATGAAATTTGTCTATAAAATTAAAAGACTGGCTAATGGCTGAATAGACAAATACAAAGCACAATTTGTAGTGTAAGGATACACTCAAAAGAATGGAATAGACTTCTATTCTGATGACTTATTTGCTCCAGTAACAAAACTATCAATAGTACAATTACTGTTATCTTGGGCAGCATCTAAGAACTACAAAATACATTAGATAGATGTAAAATCTGCATATCTTTACAGAGAACTAAATGAGGACAAACTCATTTATGTGAAACTACTACTAGACAAGCTACTTACAGATATTAAACCTGGACAAGTGTTACACTTAAATAAAGTGTTATATGGATTGAAACAAGCAGGTAGACAATAGTATAAGAAGATTACCAAACTACTGCTTAAGATTGGATTAGAACAAGCTAATTATGATTATACTGTATTTTACAAGAAATGAAATAATAAAACAATTCTTATAACATTTATACATGTTGATGATATTACAATTATTAGTAAAACTATTGCTATAATAACAGCATTTAAACATGCATTAAGACAACATGTTGTATTTACTAACAGTAACAAAATACATTAGTTACTTAGTATTAAAATAAGCTAAGATAGACTTTAACAAACAATTAGCTTACAGCAAAAGTATTATATTGAAAGTATAATCAAGTGTTACTACTTTGAAAACAAAAAGGCACTACAAACACCTATTACTCCTGGAATAGACTTATCTAACAATACAAACAATACATACAATACAAACGAAAGTAATAATGAAATAACACTATACATGAATATGGTAGGATCATTAAGATATGTTGTAGATTGCACACAGTCAGACATATCTTATATTACTGGGCAATTAGCACACTACCTATAAAAGCCTCAAATGTATTACTACAAAGTAGTGAAACATTGCTTTACATATTTAAAATATATAATGAATTGCTGGCTTCAACTTGAAAGCACAAACACCTTAAAACTATAAGGCTATTATGATACAGACAGACAAATGATGGAAGGACATAAAGTAATAAACAGCTATGTCTTTCAATTAGCTAAATTAACCATATTCTGGTCAAGCAAACAGTAAAACCTGGTACTACTATCTGTTTACAAAGTAGAGTTGTAAGTGCTAGCATATACTACTTAAGAAGCCATTTGGCTCAAACAATTTGCTAAAGAGGTACTACAGACTAAATCAGCACCCATTATGATTTATTACAATAATTAAGGTGTAATAAAGACTATAAAGTCTGACAAAATAATGTACAATGCTTGTACTAAACACCTTGATTTACAAAAAGACTTTGTACAATGTTACATTCAAAACAATTACATTAATGTATACTATGTTCAATCACAGAACCAATTAGTAGACATCCTTACAAAAGCTCTCTATGTTCTACAGATCAAGCATCTAAACAAACTATTAGGCATACAGTCCTAGTTCTTAATTAATGCTTGAAGGGGAGTATTAGATTGTACTCTAGATTAGGAAATCCCTAATTGCCTTATGTAGAGTTACTGTGCTTAGAATGTCTCAGACTATCAGACTTTACTATGTAGTATATAAGGCAGACACTTACTTAATGTCTCAATAAGAGAGAGTTTGGGGGCACTCCTACTACACTTGTTAAAAAATCATAATAAATATTCATTATACTAGGTTGCTTTCTGTTTGTAAAATCTCTTTACTGACAGGGATTCAAAGTCAAACAATCTACCAAATACTCAAGCACTAGCAGGAGACAGGTAGAGTTGAACAGGACACTCTGAGGGCCCTAGGCTGACTAAGGGTGCTGGGTTATACTAACACTGAGGTTAGTATTTTATTTCCTTCCTTCCCACCTCTAGTTGGTTCATTATAAACAAGGTACTAGTATCTTCTGGGTTTGGTAGACTATTAGTGTAACCAGTTCTTACTAGAGCTGTGGCTCAAGCTCTGTAAGGCCTGTAGAAAGTATGTGTCAGACAGTACAGTTTGGAGAGCACTCAGGCAAGTGGGTTTCATACTAAAATGTGTATGTATTATGGTACAGTTGTAGACATCCCTAGACTTACAATTCCTCTGTAGATTTTAAGGAGGGCAGCTGAGTACTGTGAAAGTGCATACATTCAGTTCAGGCTGTTCATGGGAGACTTGATGGAGAAGAAAAGGAGGGAGGGTAAAAGGATGTATTTTATTGACAAGAGTGCTTGTAACCAATGTGTGTATCTGCAGAAGAAAGCCTGGGCATTGTAAGGTTGTTAAGCTAGTTGGAAACAAGTTTTTGCTAGGGGAAAAAGGTAAGTCTAATTGCCATTCCTTATATTATACCTGTATTATATGTTTTCAGATATTCAATTCTTCCAGCCTTGTCTTTGGATAGCATTCTTGACTGTACAATCATTGAGAGTGCTTTCAATGCAGAAAAGTTCATTGAATTCATTACAGTGATTGCTAATTGTGTAGAGCCTGGATCTGTGTTGGTTCTGGACAACTGTTCTATCTATAAGTCACAGGAGGTTTGTGAAATAGTTGGATCAAGGTACTGATCATTGTTTGGTCCTTATTACCATAATCTAAAACTGGATATATTCATAGAGGTATGGAGCTTGTCTTTCTTCCTGTGTATTCACCTGACTTCAATCCTATTGAGTTAGCATTCTCACTCCTGAAATCACAACTTCAAGGTATTGGTCTTGATGAAAGTGGTACAGCTGTATATGACCAATTGTATGGGGAAGTAATGTCAATTAGTACTGAGCATTGCAGGAACTTCTTCCAGCATTGTGGTTACATTGAATAGCTGTCCTAATATACCCCTATGTAGTCTACAGCTCAAGAATACTATTGCAATTTATTTCCTTCCTGTTTTTGCAGATAGAAATAACCATAAATACTATGATATTTCTCACAAAGCTGGCTACAACAAGATACAACAGGACATACAACAGGACATACAACAGGACATACAGCAAGACCACACAACGAATACAAGTTTCTCATTCAAATGATGACAGTATCTACAAATTCCTTCCCACAAAATGGCAATAAACACAAACCCAGTTGGTTTCTGAACCTTGCCTTTTCTTCCTTGCTCGCCCCTATAACGTTATCCTCGGCATTTTGTGTGCGCAGACGTAGGGGTCTCATTAGCTTGTTTTGGAACAAGACCCTCCAAATCTCTGTCAGCTCATCGCAACCCGACAAACCGCCACACTCATGCCAATAACTTCTGGCGAAGTCGATCATCTTCACGCTGTACGACATGCTGTCAAATAGCATATTTTCAGCACGAGCGTCGCCATGGAAAACGCCGATTTTATGAAGCTCAATGAGAGCATGCATGATTTGTTTCCTGTAAATCGTTAAGCTATCTGAACATCCCGAACGAACGATTGACCTACTTTCTGTCCTCCCTCAAGCTCCTCGACGCGAATTCTGGGATACGCTCCCCTACGAAATCCGTGATCAAAAAGAACAGAGACGGCTCACCCGAGACCTGATACAATCCGTAGCATTTTGGGACATGACGAGCAATTATACTCGCGTAATTTTCGCGTTGCGCGACTTTCTGCAACACGCAATAGTTCACGTACTCGGCCCTCAATTCGTCACAGCAGTTCTCGTATTCCTCCGAGTCTCGCAAATCGGCATCCACCACCTTGATAGCAAATTCGGTCCGGGTCCTATCAAAAGAAT